ATTAACGTGACCACTGGGAGAACATGAACAGGCGTCAGGGTCGGGATCGAGCCTACGACTTCCTGTTTACCAGGCGAAGTAGTTAACATATTTCCACCCGTGGCACCCTTTATGAATTGAAACAGTACCTGTGGGTCTAAGTCCGCAGTAGGGCAGAGTGTGGGAGAGAATCTTGACAGCGTGGTGAGATTCCTAAGTTTAACTTAAAAGTGTTTTCACATCCGCGATGCGAGCTTAACCAGTCTTATTTACCAGGATCCTGTCCATGCTTTTTTATTCTTCGCTTTTTTTGTAAACAATTTTAACGTGTCAACTGCTCTCTCATGCTCAGTAAAGTCTCTACTTCCACAAATGTATCTTCATATTAGCCACAGGAATAAACAAATTCAAGATATAATCCTGCAACAGCAGCATTAATTCTAATCGCAATAACTTTATAATCACAATAACGTTATAATTGGAGTATTATGACTCGCCTGCCATGCAATGCAATGCATAGTCGTGATTTCCGTTCATTATTTATCATTGTGATGACGAATGGGAAATTGTAGTTGTTACTGCGCATGCACATGAGCCAGACGAAAGAAGAAGTTCGTGATTAAAGTAGTTGAGCTTTGTCGCATTGCGGGGGTCACGTGAACGCACTGCGTGACGACGCCGGGCACGGTGTGCGTGGTGCCGCTTGCCTCTTGGAGCATCTCAACAATGCGGAGAATGTGTGCCATTTGTTACGTTTGCCTATTTGTGACAACGTCGGCGAGACTGTTTTAAACTGCCGAGAACTTTTTTTGAACGAGAGCCGTTTCCATTGAAAGGGCCTCAACTTTGAGCCACGCGACCCGCAGGGGCATGTGGGGGCCCTCCGGCTCACACGGGGCAAAGTGGCACCGGTGCCTGGGCCACAGCGGCGCTGAGCTGGCCTCGTTCATAAACCACAAGGCCTGCTCCGATGCACACCGATTAGCGAGTAGTTGGAGATCAATGCACAAGGCCAGTCCTGTACGCTTGTAAATAGTGACAGATCGCACCGAGGGCGCTGAGTTTTGTGTAATTTACGTGAGAATGTTAAGTTATTTTCAGTGACATACTTCAGCATTTCCCTCCCCATACAGCATCAACATTCTGCGAGTCAATCATCGGTGTTGTTATAAATACAGATTTTATTTGATTCTGAACGAGGGGGCCGGTGAGCTGCTAGACTCTTTCATTAGCGTACAGATGTTACACAGTACAGATGGGAGCGACAATCGTGGTTTCATCGGTTGTACACGTTACAGGAATAGGAAACCCGTTGAAAACATAAAACAAAAAAAACATGACTACATTCTTTCTACGAACGAAAATAAAGGATGGAAAAAAAATCTGTGATTTAACAAAGCAAATACAATCAGAAACCAGGGACTTTAAGTGTGATCCAAAGAGACCGGAGGTCGTGCTTTTCTGCCGATTATGTATGACAGCTACATACGTTTTGTGTTTACATACATTTATTATTAATATAACGACATTTGCCATTTATATCCTGACATTCTAGGGAAGTACAAGGAACACTGCAAAGTAACAGTCTCGTGGCACATCGGGGAACGACTCCCACGGGGCACAGCGCAAACTCACCCACGGCAGGTCTCCCTTGGGGGAATATTGGCACAAAAGCGCTCCTCAGCAACGTAAACATGGATATTGTCTTTTGTATATATCACTCTATATACACACATTACACATTCGTCTCCCTGCAACCTGAATCATGTGTACATAAGTTGAAGAACTGATTTATAAAATGTATTTTTGTGCAGTAATTGAAAACCAATGGAAAAAAAAAATTCTGTAAATGTTCCACTCTTTACCAAAGAACCCCATCACGTTATTAGTGTGATGACATTAGCGAAAGAGACTTGGCCCGTACAGGCAATGGCAGCACAGAACTACCTATGGTGGCTCTTCAAATAAGCTTTTGCAAAACTGTAAGGTGTTCATTCATGTTGTGTACATATGGACGAGGGCAAACCACAGGTAAACAAACAACATCTTGGACACTCGGCGTTCTGTGCACTCAGTGGTGAATGAGCCGTGACCATCAAAACACCTGGAGGGTTGCGTGATATGATGATTCCATGACGCATCATACGATATTAGGTGCATAGTAATCATGTCGCTATACCGTGATTTTCGTTTCTCTTAAATATTTTATTTCCCGACAAAATATTTACGAAATTGAAGAACTTTGAAGACGTCTTTTTTTCAAACCATACTGGAAGTACAGCAGAGCACAAATACAATACAGTTGTGAAATACAACTTGTCAAGTGATGGGAACGCGCTATTGTGGTACTGTACATGGTTACCGTGCGACATGTGATATCGCGTCCGCCCTACGCACTTGATGCCCTCTTGTATTCAAGGGCGGCTGCGAGCATTCAGGAGACAATGTCTTGGAAGTGATGGCTCACTGATGGGGACGTGAGATTACGTAGCCGCCAAACAACGTCTCACCGTTCGCTCTACATCGAACCGACTCAAGTGGCTTTCAGAACCTCGAACAACCTTTTAAGGCAATTTTTCCTGCAACGTTTGAACACAACGTACATCGTACCATCGTGCGTGAAGCATTTTGCCTCGGTACATTTGTATGCAACTGGGATGTCTGCGATTTTGACACAACAGAGGCAAGTTTTGAAAGTGTATATTAATGAGCTAACTATATAACAAGGGAAAAGTATAACAACAGTATTAAACATTGGTCACGTGCTATTATAATTGTTATCAACCAAATCACCAACAGAAGACTTTAGTACGTGTCCAGGTATTCGAGTGAAAGGAAAAGGCAAACAATCCGATCTTGGTAAAAAAAAAAAAACGTATTCGGAAAGGTGTCTACAGTATTCGATCCTGTAGAATTTACGTCAGGAGTGAGAGGAAATTAAATACAATGCTCTATATATATTCTGAGCCCTAACCTGGCAATGGAGAGGAGGTTAGAGCAACACTTTCACCAGGAGCCACGCTGCCAGAGGTTCGATGCAATTTGGGATTTGCCTTTGACTCACAGCGCGGCAAGCCAAACATACCTAAAAAATCACAACTCTGCCTAATAATTATACCGCAACATCAATCATTCATGAGCAGGGGGTGGAAATTTAAAATTCCAAGATCAACACGAGCAGTGGTAAAGCACACGCAGGCTGCGGGCCGGACGCGTGTCGGGGTGCAACGCGTTGTCGGGGGGTGCAACGCGTGGTCGGGGTGCAACCGTGTCGGGGTCCAACGCGTGTCGGGGGTGCAACGGCGGTGTCAGGGTGCACGCGTGTCGGGGTGTTCCGCGTGTCGGGGTGCAACGCGTGTCAGGGTGGCAACACGTGTCAGGGTGCAACGCGGTGGTCCGGGGTGTTCCACGTACGTGTCAGGGTCCAACGCGTGTCAGGGTGCAACGCGTGTCAGGGTGTTCACGTGTCAGGGTGCAACGCGTGTCAGGGTGCAACGCGTGTCAGGTGGCAACGCGTGTTAGGGTGTTCCACGTGTCAGGGTGCAACGCGTGTCAGGGTGCACGCGTGTCAGGGTGCTACGCGTGTCGGGGTGCAACGCGTGTCAGGGTGCAACGCGTGTCGGGGTGCAACGCGTGTCAGGGTCCAACGCGTGTCCGTGTGCTACGCCCGCGTCGCCACGATGCGTGTGGGGGTGCTTGGGGAATGGAGCGGTGGCATAGCGGTTAGCGCCACGCTGCGCTACGAACTCTGCCACCCGAGTTCGATTTCTCGTCACGGCCAACACCAGTGACGATTAATCATAACCGGTCCTGGCCTCCCCTAGGGCTACTCAGCATAAAATTAGTATCTGGTGCTGTGTGTACTCATCGCCACTCGAGAGACAAAGGCGGCCGGGCGTGGTGCTGGCCACCCACCCCCTCGTGTGCCGTGCCGGCCTTCACAGGTGCTCGCTAACAGCACTTGCCCCAACAGTCTGTTGAAGGCTATACTGGGGAATCTTTGTCTTTGTCTTGTGGTGGTTGGGGAATGGCAGCGTGGCGATTGGTCCAGCGGTCTGCACCACAGTCCCAGCGCCTTTGGTTCAATCCTTTGCCATCCACGCCAGTCACAATCAGCATCTGAACCTACCCATTGATTAACTCGGGCGATAATTGAGACCTCGCGTGGTGATTGCAGCGTCAGCAATGTGTGGGGCCAAGGTCATCAGCAGTGGCCCGATGCTGCCCCACGAAGCCGGTGTCGTGGTGTCATTCCGCTCTTATAAGCAGGATTGCTGCGATGTAATTTCTCACGATACTATACACGATTAAATATCACAGCAAATGTGTTTATCGAGATATCACTTTCCCTTACTTTCGCAATTGTGTTTCACATTTTTATCGTTGACTTTCTTTTTGCTTTCAGGTACTTGGAGTATGAACTAAGATCGCTTAAAAGTCAACCGGTTGCAGTTCGCTCATTATACGCCTCCAATGAGTCTTGGAACTTTACAATATTACGTTTATAGTCGCATTCTGTCAAATAATCATGACATAATTTAATTGTAATGCTGTCACTTTCTCCGCAAAAACACTACTGTATTTTAAAAATATATTTTAGAAACCCAATTATAAATGTATAGTGAACTTTAAATATTGTTATTTCACAAATATTTGGTCAGGAAGGTAATATTTAATCAACGATAATCACGATATGACAATGTTTAGCAAAATGGAAAAATTGGACAGGTGGAACTTCTGTCGTGCAATATATATTGTCGTGTCGCATATCACTCAGATCCTATGAATAAGCAGAGAAGTCTCCTTTATATATCTGTCGAAAGATTTAGAGATACATTGTCTGCCTTTATATTTTCTGACTAAGATGATGCTTGATAGCAATTTTTGCACTCAGTCTATTAAATGTGATGCTTGTGTTTGTGTTTGCTCGCGTGTCTGTACGTGCACGCACCTGTGTGTCGCTGTGCGCATCTGTGGGTGTTCGTGCGGGTGTCTGTGTGCGGCGCGCGTGTCTTTTGCAGGGAGACGACGCTGCCTTCCAGACGTATTACCGGCAGCAGCGCCGAGAGCAAGTGCAGCTCGTGAGCCAGCCTCCCTGCAGCTCGGTGAGACGTCTACGCCGATGCGTTCACACAACGAGCCAGGCCAGCGTCGCAAGTGCCGTTAGCGAGCGCCTTTTAAGACCGGCGCGGTGCAGGAGAAGGTGGCGTTGCCAGCACCCTGCCCGGCCGGCTTTGTCTCCCCCGTGCTGATGCTTTACACGTTGCACCAGCTACTCATTTCAGGTTAAGTTGACCTGAGACACACCCAGGACCAATTCAGATATGAGTTGTCACTTGATGTTAGCCGTGGCTGGGAATCGAACTCGGGTCGTCAGTTTCGCGTAGTGCAGTGCCCCAGCACTCCCCACCCTAACCAACAATTTCCACCACACTGCACGACCATGACATGTATTAAGGCCACACTTTCACTCTTTTAAGGGTCATGATTGGATTTTCGTGTTTATATGTAAACACCCGTTGTTATGCTTGCTTAGTAGTTGTGCCGTTTTTCTATAATACCATGCAGGCTCAATCATTCTCACCTTTAAATATTTGCTGGAAGGGCATGCATTCCCTTCGGTGAACAGGGTGCAAGATTAATCTCAGGCTTTACTGACAAATCATTATTTGCAGTCCTCTGCAGACCTATGTTTTTCATTGAAGTTTGCAAGCAACATATTTGTTATGCTTGAAACAGTTTAGCACTTTATGGCGGTTTGAAAGCATGCGATGAATAAGCAATGCCAATAAAATGTAAAACCTTCTGTAAAACGTGCTGCTGTTATGGATTATATTTAGTGAATTTGATATAAAACATTTGTGTGGCACAATTTAGCACTAGTTCTGTTTCTGGTGTAAAGTACATTCCCCATTTATTTCATTTTCATGGCAGAGTGCCAAGTTGACTTCGCATTGAGCATAGGCACACATGGCCCAACCCATGCAACTCACATACGTTTTCACAAAACACACACTTCTTATAAAGACACACCGCTACCCTGTTGCCTGCTACTGAGTTTGAAGCTACACGTTCTGTTAGAATTGCTACAAAAGATCAGGATGGTTACACAATCTACGATATTTCTGCTCCTAATTATAACTGTCGAAAGTCCTTGAAAATCCTTCTGTATACATTAAAACTCCACATTCCAAGGCAGGTTTTAAGCGTGTTTTTGCTGCTCCTGAATGAAATGTAGTGCGTAGAAAGCCATGTGTATCCACATAATTAAAATTGTAGATGTTTGATGCATTAAACGGTAAGATAAAGATTATTGCTGTTTTTTTGCTAATAAAAATCAGTGCAATTTCGTGAAGTATTGTTTTCCCAAGACTGTAAATCAATAGAGTGAACTTCAAACAATGGTGCTAATTAACATTTGTAAAGTGTGTATGTTTTGTTGTTGTTGTGCAGACACAAACTTTGGACAGCTACAGGAAATACTTCAACCAGATTGTCGGGTGGGTGTTCAGCGCACATACATCCACGTTCAACACGCAGGACAAATCGGCACAAGAGCAGTGCATTGTGGGAGTGGGGAAAACCACCTCAGAGGATAAATCATCCCCATGTCTCTGGAGGTTTGTGGGTATGGATCAGAGGGCTGGACGCTAAGCAGCTCAAACAAAACGTTTGTTGGCATTTGGGCGGAGTTGCAGTTCCTCGGAACCCCGAGTACCTCCTTAGTAGCCTGCAGTCCGTCCACCGCCGGCTGCCAGGGCACTCGCTCTCACTCCCCTTCGGGACCATTTCTCTCTCTCACAGCTGCGCTCATCACGTCCCTGCACTGGCTTACAGTTCCGACCCACGTTGAGTTTTAAGATTCTCCGACCGGTGTTCAAGGCTTTCAATGGGCTCGCACCACCATACGTGCAGCAGCTGCTTCAGTCACGCACTCCACCGTGACCTCTGAGATCCGCGGGCCGTGCCCCCTGGGGTGGCCACGGGGCTGCTGTCTGCACGCCGCCCGGGCTCCGGAGTTCCCATGACGGTCGGGAACTCACAGGAGATGGAGACTTTTCAGTCCCGGCTGAAAACCCCCACCACCTGTCTGACGCAGCGGCCTCCTATCTCTCCGGTTCTCGACCTGGTCTCTTTAGTCTCTCTCCCCAGTTACGTATCACTCATTCCTTCCTTTTTTACCTGCATGCCGCTCTGAGATCCGTCGTTAAAGGGCGCCTTATACATCCATATTATTCTTAGGTGTCTGAAACAGATTCTGGGAACTTCATGAAAAGATAGGATAAGCGATGCGTAACATCCAGAAGAGGACGTGGTAGGTAAGTGTTGCAGACGTGATGAGGTAGGCTGGGGACACGTACGCAGGATGGAGAAGGGCCGGTTACGGTGACAGGCGTGATAATGGTCTGCAAGAGTCCTGCGAGCAAGGGGAAGGCCTCGGAGCAGGAGGTGAGACACTATGAAGGCAATGTTGGCATTGTCTATTGTGCAGCAGCTCGATCTTGGTCTCTGTGGGCAATAAATTGCTTATGATTTCAGGCACGTGCTTATCATAACATTGTCATGCCGACAACAACACTGGTCTGCAATTGGCAACACAGGCTTTATTATGACCACACATCGGTCTGTTAAAACAACAGTCACCATTTATAAGTGAATCAGTTGACATCGTAAAAACACAGGCCTGCTCGCAAAGCCACTGAGGCATGCAGGCCCAGGTTGGACTCTAGGCCGTTCTATAAAGAGCCCAATAAATACTGTTCACGTAAAAACGGCAGATAAGCTATCCCCGTGGATTTCTGCGTGCACATGGGCCCGCTGTGTGTCGCCCATCTAGGCCGTGCCAGCTCTTTCCAACGAGCTTGCCAAGGTGGTTAAACAGACGGCACGGCACACGTTCAAGCTGTTCTGTATGTGGCTTGTGAGCACTGCGCTGTGAACCCGTGTGCGCTAAAGTACATAAGCAAAATCCTCATTTTGAGACTCGGTGAGGCTTTTTTCCTATTTTAAAGTACAGATAAAATAAATAAAAGATTCGCAATCATAAAACCGCTGTTCAAAACAGTGTATTTCCATAAACACTGCTAGCCGGTTTCCCAAAGTATTGCGACTCTCGAATTGTCTCTGTGAGCCTCAGGAATTACCAATTCACCATAATTATCCTATTGGTGCCTTGATCTGGCTCTCAGAGCCACAGACATGAAAGATGAATCCTAAAATCCTGAATAGTACTTTAGTCTGGCTCTGTGAGCCTTGGACATTAACAATGAATTCTAAAAGTTCCTTATCCTGGCTCTTTAAACACGACTGTGTTACTCAGGGTATATATATATATGTAACTCATATACAAGTTGTGGTCTCGTTTATTTAAAAAGATTAAACTAATAAAAACGTGGTTATGTCACAGAAGCCCACATGCCATTGTCTTTCTGAAAACGGATTCAGCTTATTAACGTAGATGGTTTAAACAACATTGGGCTCATTGTCTGATTTACCACTTACAAGGCCGTGGTGGGGCCAGGTTAAGGATGTTGCATGTCATGCTACGCATGGAGATATAGAATATTAGACTTTGCACTGGTAGGTTGTGGTTACCACACAGTTCTCTCCATGGAGAGGTGAGAAGACGGTGAAAATGAAGGGAGAACGTCAGCTCTGAGAGATCTTTCTATCCACCAAACGTTGCCTCGGAGTGCAGGCGTTTCATACCCATGTGTTCACAGCTCACGGGCGGTCTGGCATCAAAGGTCGTGCGAGAATTATTCATCGCAGAAGCAATGCGTGGGAATAATTTTTTTCCTGAACGTGAAAATCATGATGCATATAGCTGCCAACATTACCCGATGAGAATGTGGGTTAACACCCATGTGGGAGACAGCCCGCTCAAAAGAGAGAGAAATGCTTTGCACCTGGCCCGCTGAGTGTACCACTGCTGCTATTGTGTTGTAGCGCTGGCGCCTGCTATTCATTCTCACGCTCTCCAGCTCGTAAGAAGGCGTTGCCCCAGTTCTGTCATTAAAAGTTGGCGGGTATATTTGTCCGTGATTTTTTGTTCTCCCTATTTTTATTTTAGTTTTTTCTTCAACCATCAGTTATATTCCCATTGCATGAACGTGTATTGCAAGAATCCTCCATTTTGGTTGCCCCTAAAGAGACACAACAAACATGGCCGCCTACTTAGGGAACAACCCCAAAGCAACACGACAGGCCTGCTGTCCCCTTCAAGGATCTCACTGACACTCTCCTCACGTGTTCATTTATTGCCTCCGACCATGAATAACCACCCACACCTGAGCTTGGCCGAATTAAACGCAGAAAGGTTTTTGATGGTGCATTTTTACGTTGCTCACCAGAATGGGAAACGAAAACACACTTCAATGTAATACTCAGGCGTGTAGTACCCCAGTTAGCTTTAAATTTGTGTAGGATACCCCAGGACACATATAAGACATACCGATTATGTATTTTGCATTGCATGTTTAAGAGTTGCATGCATTTTAAACACTTGGAGAGACGCTAATCTTCCTTGTTTTCATGAACAGAATCTCTTAATTGTCTCTAGTCTGTCCTCGAGTCATAGCTGAGCCAGTATACCTCAATGACTTCGTAAGCAGGTTGGTCAAGAACTAGATTGTAGTACGCAAGCCACTATTGGCAACTGCAATGTACAATGGTTTAGCTGAATCATCAGAATCGGAATATCTATTTATCCTGGAAGAGTTTCAGCTGAACGGTAACTCGGAGAACAATGTTCGCGATGAAATTTGTCCGGTAGAAACGACATGTCGCTTTGAAACTGCATCAAGCGTCCTCCGGGTCACAATGGCGGCAATGTGTTTGCTGTGTTGGGCGTGTGGACGCGGGGACCGAGCAGGTTCTTTGTGGTGGAGGAGCGAGTGCTGTGCAGCACGCGAGGACTTGTGGAGCGGCTGCACCTTCTCGAGCTCTGGGACTCGGCCCTGACCCGCGTGCTCGCAGCGGTCCGCACGCTCGCTGTACGTGCGCACGGCGCCCCGCCGCCGCTCACTACCCCACGTGTCTCGCGATCCCCACTACACAACGCTGTGGCTCGTTTCAAAAGGATGCTCACGCAAATGTACGCAGGTTAAACGTCGTGCGTCATTGGGACCCATTAGCACGGTTGGCTACATACGGTACGATGCGAAAGAAGTTCAACACGTGTGTATGTGTGGTGAACTTCTTTCGCACCGTACGTAGCCAACCGTGCTAAGCGGAGGTGCGGGGGGAAGGATAACGAACTATACACAAAGAGCAGTTCCAAAGATTTGAGTTTCAATTTATATTTAAAAGTGCATCATGCATACATAACAAGTTTGATAGGGATGTGATGAATTCCCAAGTCCCGTGCAATAATGACCTGATGAGTGCCATTTAAAATGATAAACGTCTCCGTTACACCCTAAAGAGAAATGAGTCTGCGTGCATGCAAAAAAATCTGAAACGCGTTCAACAAATGTTTAATCTTGAGGTCTGGATGGCCGACCAAAATGGAGTCATCTGCCACAGAATCCCACCCAGCCTCTGTGCGTGCGTGTGCACAGCCTCTTGTCCGTATGGGTACGCCACGTGGAAGTGTGCATATTTCCGTTGACATACTTGTGCTCTCTCAGCAGACTTGCTGCAGTGAGCCCGAGCTTCTGCGAGGCCTAAAGGAGCTCCTCATCTCGTATGCCGACACCATGCAGGTGAGCCATCGCCCCGCAGCACTAGCCCTGGCCTTTGGGGGAGATCTGGCGCCTACCGCTTGCCCAGCGACACGAGTCGCTAACTTGCCTTCATCTCCCCTCTTCAACGCTCACGAAAAATCACAACTTTTAATTTTTCCCCCAAACCCATATTTTACTTCCGTTCCCAATGTTTACGTACGAGGGCTACCCCAAATGTAATACCTCCTATTTTTTCTCGATAACTGTTTATTCAACGGACAAACATTTTCCGACATTCGCTCGTTGGTGTATTTCAACGTGTGGCTGTTTTGAACACAATGCATTATTTTAATCGTACCATCGTGAAACCAAGATGAGAGCATTTCTGTCTCGGTAATATAACTTCATCAGAATCTCATAAAAGCCCAAACCATAGTCACGAACAGCATCCTGTAGAGCGGTGTCGTGTTAAAAATGTTGCAAATGTAAGCCGCCCCTTCACATGGGCGGGAGTGCATTTCAGTTGGTAACCGAGTGTTGTGTTTTGCTGATTTCAAATTGCCGATGATGGCATTGAGTTCTTAGATGGCCTTTGTGCGCTGTAGTTACCGATCTAAAGTTGTGGTTGCTCCACGCTTGCTGTGTTTGCAGTGTGTTGCCGAATAGGCAGTGAATCAGAATCTGTTTATCCTGGAGGAATCTGATGAGCTATGAAGCTATTTTTCACAGATGTCCAGTGGGGGACGGGGTTCAGCAAGTTACATCACCAAAATAATACAATAAAGGATACCAGAGCAAGATAGAGACATGTTAAGCAAGTCACAAAACAAATATATACAAATAAATGTAAATGAAGCATGGACGTACAAACTGCACTCACACATAAATTCCCAGTGCAAGCTTGGGCCAGGCAGCACAACAACGACAACAATAAGACACCACAGTGCCAGGATTACATGGCAGTGGTTGTGTTGCAGGGCCTCGGTGTCCCCGTGCAGCAGCTGCTGTCGCTGCTGCACGACTTCCGCGCTCAGTACGGCGAGGCTCTGCACGCCAAGTGGGCGACCGCCTTCCAGTGAGTGTGGCCTCGCGTGATGCCATAGCACCGCCACTTCGCCTTCTTCTTCTTCTGCTAGCATCTGGTGGGGTGAATGGCAAAGTTAAGAACTATATCCCAAGTTAAAACTATTGAAACTATAACAAAAAACATTACCAGATGAGGCCCACTGAGCTATATAGCTCTCGATTATTGACTTAAAGCTTTCGTGACTGCAGGAATTAATATTCTTTGGATCTTTCGGTAAAGTTACGTAGATAGGTTTCTTTGAATATGTAGCTCTATTTTCAGAAGCGACCTGGCCACAAATGATAGCTCAACGAAGTTGCTTATCGTGTGGAAATTAACAGCAGACGAATACTCTAAATGCTTGTTGATTCTAAATGTGGAGGAAAAAACCGGAGGACCCGCAAACTCTCAAAATACAGCAGGCATCAGGGTCGGGATCAACCACGACCTCCTGTACACCAGGCGAAGTAGTTAACATCTCGCCACCGCAGCACCCCAGTTTGAAATCGACATCACGGCTCCGTGTGAGGCTGAAGGGATTTCCGCTTCTGCCTGTTGCGTCGTCTCTACCACGCTGCACTCAATAACGACACCGCAGATCACAGCGCTTCTCGCTCTGCTTCTTCCCTCGCGTTGCTCAACTTGGGAATTCCCCCCATCGCCCTCTCTTTGCTCAAGCTCTTCTAACAACCTTGCTCAATTCAAGCGACCTGTCACCTCGTATCGATTACAACTGCGATGGTGCTGTCTGTTGACGGCCCATTGAGGTTTTTTAGCCTTTGGGCCTGCGCTCAGCAAGTGTGTTCGAAACAAAATATGTCCAAGAATATGTTTCAGCACTCGGGCTGACACGCTAACAGGCCAGCAGCTGAGACTGGTGGCTCGGTGAAGTTCTCCCACGTCGCTCATACGCTCACTGTGCCTCTGCCTCCTGTAAGGACCATTCTGGATGGTGATTCGTACAGCCCGGTGAACCTGGCCTCGGAAGAAGAGTGCGCACGTCTGGTCATCGCCTTCCCGCTCTCCAGCATCCCCACAGTGAGCAGCCTGTGGGCACACACACATACACACGCAAATACGAGCGCACAGACACACACACACTTGTAAACACACGGATATACAACAACAGTCGCCATTTGCCACCCAGTGATGGTGATGTCAGCGTTTGTTGCTGCAGACTTCTCAGCATTGAGCATTGGTGACTATTGTGGAATTAAACCAGTCTACAGTTATCGATCTCGACATTACTGCTGCCTCCAGCTCACATTTATTTTGATGGTTACCAAAGATAGGAGGACCACAATGCATTACTTCAGAAAATGCGGATGGTTTTTGCACAAACCATAAAAAAGTTTGTTCCCATGGATCGTTGGCAGGAGGTCATGGGTCAAACCCGGGTGTTATGGGTAATCAACCATGGAGATGTCACGCTAGTGAGACTTACTGTCTCATATGATTATTCCATATATATGAATATCTCATTCACACTTCCCTTCATTCATTCATTGCTTTTGTTCCTTGATGATGTGTGACGTGTCCACCTGCTTTTACCGCCTATTGAGAAAATCAGGAAGCTGACACTATAACGATGAGAGGGTACCCAAGCATGTAAGTTATATTCGTGTTTCTAAGTTATGAAGCAAATGTAAAGTGGCGAAAACATTGCCACCACACCCCACCGTCACATCCTTCATCTAGGTGACACGACAGCTTCGTGGTTCACATTCAACGTCTCAGGTGTGCTCTTGGGGCATGCAGGTTCACATCTCGTCAGTCTAGGTCTTCAACTTGGCTACTCACCTCTGAGTGCCTTTCCAATGCCGTCTGTGTAACCTTAGCTCTGCCATCACACGGTCACGCCCCACCCATTGCAACCTCTTGTTGTCGATTTTGTCTACTTTAAGATGTTTTCCTGTTCGTGTTTTTTGTTTGTTGTGGTTGCACCCGATTCAAGAGCCGAATGGCTCACAGGGCTATACGAAAATAAAAAAAATAAGCAAATGAACTGAACTACTGTGTTTTGCTTCCACGCCCTATTCCAAAGTTCCACCAAGTTGCTTACCCTCGTCTGGCAACGCTAAGCCAACACATTCCACATTCCCCTTGACTCAAAGGCTTATTTTCCACTTCTAACAATAACCTACTCTCATTTATCCACAATAATCATACGTAATTTCGTGAATTTGGGCATTGCCATGGAAATGTGGAATTTCCATCACTGGCTCGAGGCCACCAATGGAGATCGCTCCTTTGAAACAGAAAACACTTTGACTTTTGATGCAAATTTGACTACCAAATATCTAAAGTTCTTTGCTACCATACCTTAGCTTCTTACTGACACATGCGATGAAGATAATTTTCTTTGCGATGATTCGGCAAAACAGAACGGCTCGCAACTGCTCGCAAAACACAACTGTCGTGCGGTGTGCATTTAGCAGCCAAGGCGACGAAGGGAAGGCGGTGTGGCTCAGCAAGAGAGCAGTGTTCAAGCCCCCTCGATGTTGTCCCATAACACCCGACAGGGGTAACCCGGGCGCTTTCCTTCCCTGTTGTCATCTCGCGCCCCTCCCAACTCTCGGAACGTGACCTCTGCGTGACGCCTGAGCTGTCGCATCCTGCCCCCCACATTACCGCTCACCCCCCGCCACCTCAACCGCTGCTCGTTCCCCGTGACCTTTGCTCGTCCCGCGCGGTGACGCAGGCGTCCAGGGCATGTGGAGAGCGCTCCCTTTGAAGAGAGGGCCACTCCGAACGTCACGGGCGCGTCTGATCACGGCGCGCGCAAGGCCCTGCTCGCTCGCTCGCTCGCTCCCAGAGATGGGACGCGTGAACGCACGCGCGTGCGCGCGCACGCGCGTGTATTGCGTGCGCTTTGTCACATGTACGTACGTGTTAGTTTAAAGTCCAGTGTGCTGGCGTCTGTGACACGGTGCCTCCACTGTATAGTTTTCTTGTATTTGACCACGCAACATTTTTGAATCGGAGTTCAGCTGTATTAATTTAAACCATACAATTTAATTAAAGTCTGCTCGTTGAGACAACATCAACGTTCCTCTTTAATGAGGCATGGGACAGGGGGATGCGTACACTGCTGTAAAGGAGTGGAAGACGTTTGTTTAAAAAAGGAAACTAGTTTTAATAAACATGCACAATTGTTTTCTCAATTTATTAGAAACACTACCGCTCGCACACACACACACACGTGCAAATGTTCACATACACAGGTCTGGGGAGCGGTATTACAGTGGTTAGCGTGTTGCGCCACAAACCTGGCGACCCAAGTTCAATCCCCGCTCATGGCCACCACCAGTGACGAATGTCTGAATCGGTCCTTGGCCTCCCCTAGGTCGACGCAGCCTCAAATGGGTACTTTGTGCAGTGGGTAAACATCGCCACTGGGGGAGACAAAGGCGGCCGGGTGTGATGTTGGCCACCCACCCCCTCGTGTGCCGTGCCGGGCTTCGTAGGTGCTCCCTAACAGCACTTGCCTCAACAGTCTGTGAAGGCTACACGGGGGATCTTTGTCTGTGTCTTTGGTGCAGCACAATCAATGTCCACTCCTGGGGTGGCCGCTGTCTACACTGGGGCCTGTTCCGCTCCCCGCACAGTCTGCGGCTCGCCTTCATCTGTGCGTCGCACACTCACAGCCGTACGTGCCCTCGCACACTGGCACACACACGAGTGGCAACGCTGGTCGTGTTTTGTGCAGAGCTGCAGATTTACGCGATGGAAAGTAACTTAATTATTTGAAATGTTTAATGGTTTGGGATATGAGGATGTCATCTCTGGTACATTGTGGGAAAAAAAAACAGTGGTTGTGGCTGCAAACGGCCACCAATGGTAATGAGCACCGACAGATCTTTGAGTATGGGAGCAATGACTTTTAATAGATCAAAATACTCTGATGGCAGAAATACCTAGATTGTTTAAACATTTACGTCGCACAAGGGATTACAATCTATCGGTAACCAAGTCTCAAAACCTTTCTTTTCCAGTCATTTCGAGAATGGCGATATGTATTCAGTTTCGAGACTTGCAAAAGATTGCTGCTTGGGCTACCAGGGAATGAACGTGGTGCCTTTGTTTGGCTCTCTGTGCCTTTTACTGATCAATGTAAAGGATATATCTTCTCTTTAGAAATAGTTGTTTATCTAAATGAAAATTCACAGTGTATACCAGTTCCAGAGACGAGGCAAAACTAATGGAATTGTTGGAGAGAAATGTGAATATATCGGTCAATTCCTGGCTGTGCTTATCTTCATCGTAGCAGCTCAGAAGGAGATGTTTATAAAACTTTACCCATTGCTGCACAAAGCCCCCTGTTGACTGTGATTCTGAACGGGACGCTGGCATTTTATTCAGACTGACGTTGCTCGCAAAACGTTTTTTTAGAACACCTCAAATTGGGTCCCACAGGTTTCATGGCAAGCGTTGTGGGCGTTTGCATGGCTTCAATCCACATTCGAACCCTGGAACTCAGAAAGTCTCCCGCGTGCAATGGGAAATGTCCCGGTGGTCTCCAGCTCGAACGGGAGGCGGGAGCAGCTGTGACAACAGCTGGGGAGACCCCGTTTACCAGCAGCCTGCCAGAAGTCTTCACCCCGATTCAGCATCACTGGCAGGGTCAGGGCAATATCACTTTTTCACGATATGGTACGATATAAAATGCGACGATGTGGCGATTGCTAGAACACGAGTTACCCATAACTTTGTAATTATATCTTGACTTAAAGCTTTTGTGACTGCAGGAATTCATACTCTTTAGGTCTTTCGGTAAAGTCACGTGGTTATAGCCACGTTATTCACTTCGTGATTTTGTACTTCGCTGTGCTTCAAGTACGAGTATAGATTGCTTAGAAGTTTTACAACTACAGCTCGCTCCACATCATCCTGCCACACATGTGTCTACTCATCATCGCTTTATAATCTGTGACGCTTTTGTAGCGCACATGCTGTAATGAACGATGACGCCATATCACCACCGTGTAAGCAATTAATCCGGGAAATATTTGACGAAGCACTCATATTAACCGATAAGAGGATTTGTTTTTACTTTTTGTTATTAAGGTAGTTTGTGTGTAGTATAATATAATGAATAGATACAGAATTGGATGCATGTATTCTGAGACCAATGATTGGTGCACTGGTATGTGTCTAAGCATCAGCACGCGCAGTATGCTCAGCAGAGGGTTGCAATAACTCGGAGTGAAGTGACTGTGTGTGTGAGAATTCCAATTACAGCACGAAAACAAACATTGGAAAATGCTGGTCTTGAGCTTTAATCAAGCCCAGCTTCTATGGCTTTGAGCACTCGTTGTGTAAGATAGACCAAGGGAATCAGGGAAACAGAGACCGACGAAGGAAATCAGGCGCAGATCGCTTATGCGAGTCGCGGGTTGCTATACAACACGCGTGGTGCTGTTGTCTGCGGGGAGTTTTCGAATGGAAAAAGTCTTTGGTGCTTGCCTAAATGTCAATAGCACAATTGGGATATATCTTGTGCAATAAGAAAATAAACAGAGGGTGCATTTTAATGGGGACGTTCTGGAAAGGATGCCATATTTTGATTTCTTTTATACGTCTACTGTTTTCTTTGGTAATATTATTTTGTTACAAAGGCACCAGATGAAGAACGCAGCTTCACCCCATCGTTGGGAACGCCATGAAGAGAGCATGGCTCTTGAGCCAGCACAGCGTGGAGTCCAAGGCAGCCTCAGGATGTTTGCGATGACTGATGCATTCTTGCGACAACTTTAGCCGACTGGTGTGGTCATGAAGTAGGCGAGTGGGCCGAGCGGGATTCCCCTGGCAGCCTCAGCCGGTCAAGCAAGCAAGCTGTAGCTGGGCCGTGCGGTCTGCTCACATTGGACTGAGAGGCTCACTTTGCCAAAGGGGCTACCCATTTTTATCCAGGCTACCCTTAAAAACATTCGTGACGCACATATGTATGTTGAACTTATTTCGTACCGTACGTAGCCAACCGTGCTAATCGGAGGGGACGTCACGTGGTCACCACGAGGAGAGACGTGTGCTGGCGGTGGCGTCTCTCTCTCACTTAGGCCAATGCCAGGGCCGCGTTTTTTATTTCAGAAACTGCTGAAAAGTACACATTATCTCAGGATGATGAAGCTAACCCAATCGTATGCAAATTTGCAGAGGAGAGCTGTGAGTTAATGGGATTTTCTCAGCTCCCTGTAGAGGGCAGACAGTGCCCAGTCATCGAACACTGAGCCAATTTGGACCAAATAAACTGCCTGGTAATTCCTCCTGGTTATTATTACCAAACCACACCGTAGCACCCGGAGAAAACCCACATGTGCGAGGGGCAATACTCTATCCCCGTACGGATGGAAACAGATGGCGATTAGCCAACTTGCCGTATGGTCTTTGTCTTTTGTGTGTGTTGATTGCAGGTGTTCCCTGCTTCCCTGCCATTCTCCCCGGCCATCCCAGCCATCTACACTCAGGTGCAGGAGTTTGTCAAGGCCTGCTTGCATTTTTCCGAGGACCTGCATCTTAGGTAAAATCCTGAGTATTTTTTTTAAAACATTCATATTATATCAAAACTCTGTTTCTCCACACTCCAAGTGCATTGTGATCAGCCAATCTTGAAATCCATTATGTAGGAATAAACTTATTTACAGTTGCTATTGTAGTTAATAAAAACATATCAGAATCATGGTAGTCTACATATGTTTGTAATTTGCTGAAAGTGTCCATCCGTCACACTCTGGATCTCCCAAGCATACGTACAGTTGTGTGAAAGGTCTGTGAATATATGTTGTCCGTATGATGAACGTGCTGAAACGGATAATTGTTTAAATTTATATATGTCAACTCTGCCGTCTGCCGCCCGCTTGCGATATGCCTCTGTTTCTCCAATCCACAGTTTAGAAACGCATCCTTTACGTCGCTGGGAATAACTTTGGCAAGCGAGGGTCTCGTTGTCTGGCCCTCCTTGTGCGCATGCTTTGTCACTTCACGCGGCGTCGGTGTAGCTGCTCCGTTTGTCGGCGCCTTGCTTCGTTTTCCACCGAGCTAAATGAAACGATGAGCCAGACGAGAGCAGCTATGGGATGCTATTGTAAATCTGTAACAATGAGGACGACGTCCTCCCGCACAGCACCACGGAGCTGGATGACATGCTGCGGCGCTCCACCAACCAGCTGCTCACCCGGGCACTGGCAGGATCTCTGATGGAGCTCGCAACGCGGCCCTCGCTGGGCCTCATGGAGGTGTGTGTGAGCGTGACGAGGGGTCGTGTAGCGGTGAGCGCGCTGTGCTGCGGACCCCGGCGACCCTAGTTCAATTCCTGCTTACGGCCAACGCCGGTGACGACTATCTGAACCGGTCCCGGGCCTCCCCTAGGTCGACTAAACCTCAAATGAGTACCTGGTGCGGTGTGTAAACATCGCCACTGGGGAGACAAAGGCGGCTGGACGTGCTGCTGGCCACCAATGTCCTTGTGTCCTGGCCTTCACAGATGCTCACAAACAGCACTTGCCCCAACAGTCTGTTGAGGCTATACGGGGGGGGGGGTCTCTGTCTTTATTAGTGTAGTGTGCACTGCACTGTGAACCCGGTGACCTGAGTTTGATTCCCGCTCATGGCCAACATCAGTGACGAGTGATATCTCAACCGGTGCTGCTGTTAGCTTGCACTGTCTTTGTTTTGTGACGTGATGCAATGCTGTGGTCTTGCATTCTCGTAAAATGCCATTGTGTACATCTGATGTTGTGTTGCAGTGTACTGTCTGTAATGTTGTGACGCAATGCTGTGATGATTCATTGTGATGTACTGGTACAGTGTAACGCTGTAGTGTTGTAGTGTGCCACTATAATGTTGAGATGCAATGCGACAGTATCGTTGCAGTGTTGCTGTCGTGTAACACTTTGGTCATGATATGCTGCGGTATTGCGTTGCGATGTAATGGCGTTCGGTGAAATTCTATATTCATGTGCCTTGTTCTAATCACGTTGGAGTGTTATGCTGTTGCGATGTGACGAGCAATGCTGCTGCTGCTGCTGCTGTTGTGTTTGCTTTGCAGCTGGTGCAGCTGAGTGTGAACATCGGCGAGCTGGAACAGAGCCTTCCCTCCCTTACAGACTTCATCTCAGGCCTGACTGGCATGGCCACAAGTGCCACCCACAACACGCTCCTCTATGCCAGCGACACTTTCAAGGTGAGTTTAACACTTAGGATGCTTTCGCGACCAATATCATCCATAATACAGTGTTTTTTGGGGTCAGATCGCGTAAAAATATAAATGTGTCGTTAAAACCGCTACCACCCGACACAGCCAACTAGTAAGGGTTGTCACGTAAACAGAACGTGACAATTCGTCACTAGTACAGCACACCGGTGTGTTGGAGAGCCAAGCCACAACATTTACAATCTGAGTACGACGTTTCGCCAGTAATTACAACCAGCTTCATCAGGCGACAGCCACAATGTGGCACTGGCATGTACGACAACACTAGCAACAGCAGAATTCACAGCGGCAGTAGCGTTAGAGCCGTATCTGGCATCGGATTCGCCCCATATACTTTAGATTACTTTAGGTCCAGTGGGGCTTGGTGCTGATGGAATACATCCTGCCTGTACAATAATGTTAACGTATATTTGATGGATAACACTGTCTTTATTAAAAGCCCGAATTATTTTTTGCTCAGAGCATTGACGCTGTGTTTATCTTCTGTGCACAGTCCCGAGCCAGTGGTGTACATTCCATATTGTCATAGCGGGGGCGAGTCCACCCATATCAAAACCATTGTTGACTTCCCTAGAAAGTAGGACCGATTTTCTAAATCCCGGAGGGATAACAGTCTGAGTCAGCCCCCAGCCAGGATTTGACCTCACGACCTTCCGATTGCAAGCCGGGGGTGTGTGGCTGAGCCGCCTGGTGAGTGTGGCTGTGTGCACCCGGCGCGTGCGCTCAGGATGCCCGGCGGCTGGCAGAGGAGAGCGTGGAGTTGCGCCTCGTGGGCAAAGTGGACGAGTTTGTGTCGCTGGCTGAGTACGCGTGGGCCGGCGAGGAACCCACGGGCCGCGCCAGCTCCTACCTCCTCGACCTGCTCACATTCCTACGCAGCATATTTTCCCTCTTCTCCTGCCTGCCCGTGAGCAGCCCCCTTACATCAGTCACCCGCAAAGGCACGCACGTCCACCCTGTAGAGATATTATCGTTCCACGACAAACACCGATAGTGCGCGTTATGGGTTTAATACTATGGGGGGAAACACCAGCGGCAGTGCTTCCTTTTTTTTTTCCCTAGAACTTTTTATTGAACGGACGTAAAATGTTAGGTGTTCATGTCTACGGCCGTCGATGATGTGAACGTGTATCAGATGACAGAGGCCCCTCTGTCAGACCACGACGATAACAGACCCATTGGTCTAGCAGGACTAAAGTGAGTGCCTGGTGCGGTGTGTAATCATCAGCACTGTTGAAACTAAGGCGGCCGGGCGTGGTGCTGGCCACCCACCCCCAGCCTTAATAGGTGCTCGCTAACAGCACTTGCCCCAACAGTCTGTTGAAGGCTCTACGGGGGATCTTTGTCTTTTTGTAAGCGTGCTGTGGCGAAGGCGGCGTGCATGGCGTGCTGCAAGCACCTCGCTGCCTCGCTGCTCTCACTGCTTCTGGGTGCTTCGGGGAGCCGGCTGTCTGCGGGCGCCCTGCAGCAGCTCAGCCTCGATCTCATGCAGTGCGAAGGTGGGTGACCACGCACACAAACACTTACCTACGTGCCGCACATATTCACGTACACTTTCGTCACGTACACATTGTCTTTGTCGCAAAGACAAAGATCCCCCGTGTAGCCTGTAACAGACTGTTGGGGCAAGTGCTGTTAGCGAGCACATACGAAAGCTGGTACGGCACACGAGGGGGTGGGTGGCCAACACCACGCCCGGCCGCCTTTGTCTCCCTAGTGGCGATGTTTGCACATCGCACCAGGTACTCATTTAAGGCTGAGTCGACCTAGGGGAGGCCCAGGACCGGTTCAAATAATCGTCACTGTTGTTGGCCGTGAACGCAGCGCTAACCGCTACGCTACTGCTCCCCACACACACACACGTACATTCTCCCTATTGCTCATGGTCACAAACTGCATCAACTACGATTGTTTTAGGCTACGGTTCAGATGTCAATTGCCGTTGGTGTTCTGCAAAGGTAGAATCAAGCATGGGTCGCCAAGATCGTAGCGTGCAACACGAGCAGCTATGCCACCGCTTACGTAACGGCTGACATGAGACGATGCCCCCAGGCTTATTGCGATATGAAATACTTCATGGGAAGTCATGAAAGTAATCTAAAGAAAATGGTCCCCACCGTGGGAATACTGAATTGCCGTCAAGGCACAGAACTGCCAGTGTCTCATTTGACTTGAGATATGCTTCGGACCCGAATCTATTTTTGTACCAAGGTGAAAAAAATATATATTATAAATTTGATATTCATGACCCAACAATTTCGCACAAAAACGTACCCATTCTGCCACCACTTATACAGTTGTTAAACGGCCGAACGTGGGTAGGGCCAGGGCACAGCCAACGATAGTACGAGCGTCTACAAAATATTCTGAAGTTTAACACGTAGGCTTTCGCGACCAATATTATTCATAATAAAGGTTTTTGGGTTGCGTTTATTTATAAATGTGTCGTAACCCTCCACCACCCGACACGGCCAATCAACACACCGGTGGGCTGAAGTAGTGAATTATTTGTCTTTTGTCAACGTGACACTTTTCTTTGCTGATTGGCCGTGTCGGGTGGTGGAGGGTTACGACACATTTATAAATAAACGCGATCTAACCCAAAAACCTTTATTATGAAAAATATTCTGAAACTTTCCATGTCGGTGCTGGAAAAGCTCCAATCACACCTTGGGGGGGGGAGGGCGCGCGGCATTTGTGAGAAGCTCTGAGAGGGAGTGGCCACCCGTTGCACCATAATTCATAAGCGTGCCTGTCACTTATGTATGTATGTTGAACTTCTTTCACACCGTACATCGCCAACCCAAATAATTTGAGGTGCGGGATTAGAATTGCATTACAATTATTAGAATTACACCGTGCTTCCATTCTGCATAATTTATTCTACATTGTAATGCAACATTTTTAAAGCACGTTTTAGGTTTGATCCTTTTGTTTTTGTTGTTGATTAAATATCTGGCTCATCTTAGATTTCCACGAAAGAGTCGAAAACAAACTTCACGCGAATCCGGGCACCTTTATAATGTTTTGAATCTTTAGGGGGCACTCTACACTGCTACAATTCAGCTGCAGTGAAAAAAAACAGAAGGGCACGACTGTTCCCTCGCCCCGCATGGGTTCTTTCTGGCACGGATTAGCAGCTGCGTGCTAGGATTATTTATTATCATTCTAGGTATATATTGTTTTAAAGTCGGAGGGCACGGGGTGCTGCGGGTTCACGAGCGGCGCTATCGAAGGCGACTCCACGCACCCCTCTCTTCGTCAATTCGAGCGCAGCTGCGCGCCGATTGGCTGTGGCTTTGGAGCCGCGGTGTTCGGGATCTCAATGCCACGTGCTGTGCGCCTCGCATCCTCCCTTCGACATCTCATCAAATATGGCAATTCGTAAAAAAGAAACCCGCATCTGAACTTCTACTGCTGCACGGCTCTTGATGTTGAGATACTTGCTGCTTAGCACGGCAGGTCTGTCCACACAGAAGCCCTTGTTTACAAAAACGTAACGCGCATCATCGCCTGCCACTCGGCCACGATCCCCGCCCCCCCGTGTCCGCCACAGTCGCCGTCCGACAGCGGCCATCCCGTCGACATTCTCTGTCTTCGCATTTCTCCTCGACGTGCCGTCTCCAGACGCTCGCGATCACCGAGTGACGGCCGTGGGCTGAGTCACTCACTCACTCACTCCCTCGCTCGGATGATGTAGATTGAGGAAGCATCCCGGGTCTTCTTCTCGTTCTAAACCACCTTGCGTTACACTTTATTTTTTTGTTTACCTTTAATATCCCTTTTGCATACCCCCCCCCACCGCACGTCTGCACACGCGAGAAGAAATCGCCGTTTTGAAAACGATCCGGAACACCCGCTCGAGACGGATTACAGTCACCCCGATGAATAACGAACGCAGCGGGATAGATCGCTGCAAGAAAGGAGAACCGTGTTTCTTAGAACAAATTGGCATTGTATCTCATGGAGAAAGTGCTCAGCAATGATCTTTGAATGTCGGCTAGTCATGACAGATAACAAACACCTTCGGTACATTGGGAATTAAGAAGTTGCAAAGTCTTATTATTTTGCCGTAGCGCATGAAGATGCACGCTTGCAGTTGTTCAATTTATGGAATACTGTACAGTTGAGTGATTTTGTAAAGAATCTAAGACGTCAAATGTACTACAATGAAGATGACATTTACGAATGAAATGAGATGAGATGCATTAAAATCAGGATTTGATCAATGCTAGCTAAGCCTGATACAGGCCTCGACCAGCAGTGCTGGATAGGCCTCACATGAGTTCGCGAATAAAGTCTTATAGCCACCTTCATGTTATCTCTCAAGTGCCTTACTTGCTCTAGTGTGTACATAATATTATACTAGGACATATACATTTGCAACTGCTCAGTGTTGATGTTCAATTTCAACAGATACCTGGGAATTTATTTCGGGAATTATGAATGCAAGAAGCATGCCGCGAAGTTGATGAAATTGACGTCATTTGCAAGAGCGGACTGGCTTGCCATTGTAAATGGTTACATAGAGGGACACTTCGGTAATTCCCTTCGCTAAAATACATATCTAGAAAGCTTTAGATGGTGGGAATCTTGGGAGACTGGTTTTGAAAGGTGTAAATATGTTTAAGTTCAATGAACAAGACAAATCTCTACAAGATAAAATAAGCTGCCATCAGCAATTTGATGCTTCGTGTTTATATACATGTTTAATGTCAACGCGAGAGTAACTTTCATCATTTTTAAATATAATTTCTTCACCCCACAATTATATTTAATGTTCATACTGAAGGTTCCTCTTTGAGCATGCCCACTCAATTCATTCGATACAAAGGTCAGTTTACTCAGACCTGCTCTACAAAGGTCATTGCCTCTTTTAATTTCAAGGATGTCTTGAAGTGAATGACAAAATCAAAGGTTATTATATGGTGGCTGCTTATGTCCGAAAGGTCTAGGAGTGTGTGTGGTTTGGACAATGATATGTTTGCGTGTGTGCCTATGTCTCTCACTGAGCTACACTACGAACCCAGCAATCCAAATTCGGTTCGCAAACGGTGACAGACATCAGTGGAGACTGTTTAGTCTTGGACCTCCATGAAATGAGCACATGGTGCGATTTGTAAACATCAGTACCGGAGAGACCAAGGCAGATGGGCATGGTGCTGGTCACACGACTACCCTTGCTGAGTCTGTCGGCTTTAATAAGTGCTCGCGAACGGCTCTTGCCAAAAAGTCCGTCCGGAAAATTAGGGGGGGGGGAGGTTCTTTGTATTTATCCTGTGTGTGGCATGATGCCGTGTGTGTGGCATGATGCCGTGTGTGTGGCATGATGCCGTGTGTGTGGCATGATGCGTGTGTGTGGCATGATGCCGTGTGTGTGGGATGATGCCGTGTGTGTGGCATGATGCCGTGTGTGTGGCATGATGCAGTGTGTGTGGCATGATGCAGTGTGTGTGGCATGATGCCGTGTGTGTGGCATGATGCCGTGTGTGTGTGGCATGATGCCGTGTGTGTGGCATGATGCCGTGTGTGTGGCATGATGCCGTGTGTGTGAGATGATGCCGTGTGTGTGACATGATGCCGTGTATGTGGGATGATGCCGTGTGTGTGGGATGCAGTGTTTGCGTGCTCGGGACCAGTGCCTGGGTTTGAGGATGGTTCTCTCGCCCTCGCCTTCCTCGACCTCCGCCAGGTGAGTCCGCACCTCACACCGCCCAGGGTCATAAAGAGCCGAGTGGTTCGTTTTTAAGGGCGTCGATGGCTCAATTCCATCTAGCCAGCCACTGTGAAGTGAATGCTAACGAACACGTGACGGTAATCTTTGCAAATAAAAATAGAACCTACGTATCATTGAGTCCAGAATGATAGTAGGACTTGTGTACAATGGCTCCTGATTAAGTGAGTTCTGCTGTTTTGTCCCTTAAATGTATAAAATGCAGCTCGTTACTTTCAATTTCCCATGTGGTCTTCCAGTAGTCGCACGTGTTTAAGTCGACTTTGAAAACCATCTCTCTAAAGTGGCCCTCCGTTCTTAGTTGGGTCGGTTACCCCTGGTTCTGTTTTTGTTTCCTGCTTTTCATGCATTGCGCATTGGGTTCCTCGGCTGGAATGCGCATTATACACTTGAATTATTATTTAACTGATTAGGTGATCGTGCACGAGCCCAGTAGCACGTTGACAGGAGCAATATATTGTCACAGCAGGTGAGACACAATGAAGGTGCTTGGTGGAGGTCACAAGATCCCACGCCCAACCAAGCCACCCTCTGCCGCCCCCTCTCTGTGGCCAGGAGCCATTGCACGGAATATCTGTCCCTGCACTTTGTCCCGGACCTGATTTACCAGCCGCACGGGGCAGTTGTCAGAGAAGAGTGGTGACTTGCGGTGCGAAGAGGTCCATTCATCACGGCAGAGCGAGGCACCGCGCGCGCTAAGTGCCGCCAGGCGTGCGTCGGCGCGGTTGGGTGGTTAATCAGCCCCCTCTCGATGCGGACACCTGGTGACGCATCTCTGTATAGCCGAGTGATGAAAGAGTCTGCGCCAACATGGCATGGCAAGTTTTTGTTCATCGACATCCCTTTTGGGCTCAGTGTGACACTCAAATATTGGTCCGTTTCGGTTTGGTTGCGCGATGAGCCTGTTTGCTGGAGTGTCTGCCTTCGAATCACTTTGTGTGGACTCTGTATTGTGCTACCACATCCACCCAGTAATGTCTCCAGGGAATTGCTAAGTGGACATTAAAAACCCCGCAACATCTAATCCACAAGAGTAGGCCGTTGTGTGCCAGTGTTATAGTACACTTTTTAGGTTTGAAAAGTGTCTGCAGGTTGTAAATCTGTCTCTTCGCAACTGTATACTGCATATATATGAACACATTCTGGGATCAATGAATGAATTCACATTGAGCCAGGCATGGTGAAACACACCTGTAATCGAGAATTTTAGATGCAGAGGTTGGTGTATTACATACATTTGTAAAACTTACAAACCGGTAGGGCTGTCACATAGCCAGGTGTCGGTACAGACAATGGGTTGATGAACACGTCTGTGTGGATCTTTGAATATTATCACCTCGGATACACGGGTTTTCTCTGGCCACAGTCGGTTCCTCCCACTCGACCCACGTGTTCACAGAATTTGTCAAAATTTTAATGTTTGACATTCCGTGAACACGTAATTTGACGAAGAATGTACTATTTCAGGGCGCTGAAAGTAACGCTTTGACTTTAACGGTGTAATGTTGAATTGAATACTGCATGATCAAAGTTGTCTTCAGTCACAGGATAAAGGTATTAAATGGTCACAGGATACTTAATGTGTCAAGAGTAATTTAGATGAGGCCATTTACGATCAAGTCTAACATGGAGATTTTGCCAAGGCTGTAAGCAAAATCCATATCGGTGGGGACGGTGTGTGGGGGTTGGGTCTGAGAGTAAGGAGTGTCTGAGGCATGAGAACGATGAACCCCTAGGGATGAGAGTGGTAGAGAAGGAGAGAAAGTGAATGCTCGTTATATAAGAGGCTTCTAATGTTCCTCTGCAATTAATAATATTTTATTCCTGTGATGTTTGTAAAATCTATAGTAATATTAAGAGTATAAACATATGAGTTGGAATAATCAATTCTTACATGCACTGTTTGATGCATCTATCGTGAGCGTAATAATCAATGAAAAATTTCGAACCCTGACATTCCTGTTATGTAACTTTTTTAAACGCTTTATTTCAATTGATGAACTTATTGTATTATTAATGTTCATTTACCAAGGGACGCCTCAATCAGTCTCATGACTATTTTTTTATGAGGGTCCTACCAAGTTGAGATTATCGCTTTGTGTTATCCCAATCGAGAAATGCACGCAGATGTGTATGGGGCGTCGTGGTGGTGAGATGATTCGCCCCTCGCCTGGTGTATGCGAGGTTGTGGGTTCAATCGCGACCCCGATTGCCTGGATATTTGCTCTTCCCGTGGTCGTGTGGAATTGTCTCTGGGTACTCGGATTTTTCGCTCCAGAATTAGAAACGTGCGTTTAGAGTGTTCGTCTGCTGCTATAAATTTCCACGTGATCGGCCACTTTATTGAGCTATCATTTGTGGCCAGGTTGCTTCTGAAAAAGACCTATATAGTTGAGTGAGCCTTATCTGGTAAAAAAAACATGTTGAAATAGTAACTAGTGCGAGTATGTGTGTGACAAGCGTACATTGAAAATGTACTTATCTGCATGAAAGTGCATACGTATGGCTTATACAGTGAGGGAAAACAGTATTTGATCCCCTGCTGATTTTGTACGTTTGGCCACTGACAAAGAAATGATCAGTCTATAATTTTCATGGTAGGTTTATTTGAACAGTGAGAGACAGAATAACAACAAAAACATCCGGAAAAAGCATGTCAAAAATGTTATTAATTGATTCGCATTTTAATGAGGGAAATAAGTATTTGACCCCTCTGAGAAGCATGACTTCGTACTTGGTGGCAAAACCCTTGTTGGCAATCACAGAGGTCAGACGTTTCTTGTAGTTGGCCACCAGGTTTGCACACATCTCAGGAGAGATTTTGTCCCACTCCTCTTTGCAGATCTTCTCCAAGTCATTAAGGTTTCGGGGCTGACGTTTGGCAACTCGAACCTTCAGCTCCCTCCACAGATTTTCTATGGGATTAAGGTCTGGAGACTGGCTAGGCCACTCCAGGACCTTAATGTGCTTCTTCTTGAGCCACTCCTTTGTTGCCTTGGCCGTGTGTTTTGAGTCATTGTCATGCTGGAATACTCATCCACGACCTATTTTAAATGCCCTGGCTGAGGGAAGGAGGTTCTCACCCAAGATTTGACGGTACATGGCCCCGTCCATCGTCCCTTTGATGCGGTGAAGTTGTCCTGTCCCCTTAGCAGAAAAACACCCCCAGAGCATAATGTTTCCACCTCCATGTTTGACGGTGGGGATGGTGTTCTTGGGGTCATAGGCAGCATTCCTCCTCCTCCAAACACGGCGTGTTGAGTTGATGCCAAAGAGCTCCAATTTGGTCTCATTTGACCACAACACTTTCACCCAGTTGTCCTCTGAATCATTCAGATGTTCATTGGCAAACTTCAGACGGGCATGTATATGTGCTTTCTTGAGCAGGGGGACCTTGTGAGCGCTGCAGGATTTCAGTCCTTCACGGCGTAGTGTGTTACCAATTGTTTTCTTGGTGACTATGGTCCCAGCTGCCTTGAGATCATTGACAAGATCCTCTCATGTAGTTCTGGGCTGATTCCTCACCGTTCTCCACGAGGTGAGATCTTGCATGGAGCCCCAGGCCGAGGGAGATTGACAGTTCTTTTGTGTTTCTTCCATTTGTGAATAATCGCACCAACTGTTGTCACCTTCTTCTTTGGTTCTTTCGGTAAAGTCACGTAGAATGACAAAAAATAATAAATTAATAAAATAAAATAACACAATAAAATTCTCACGACGTTTTGGCCACACCTCAAGCGGCCTTCATCAGGTGAAGGGACGAGACTCACCAAGCTGCTTGGCAATGGTCTTGTTGCCCATTCCAGCCTTGTGTAGGTCTTCAATCTTGTCCCTGACATCCTTGGCGAGCTCTTTGGTCTTGGCCATGGTGGAGAGTTTGTAATCTGATTGATTGATTGCTTCTGTGGACAGGTGTCTTTTATATAGGTAACAAGCTGAGATTAGGAGCACTCCCTTTAAGAGTGTGCTCCTAATCTCAGCTCGTTACCTGTATAAAAGACACCTGGGAGCCAGAAATCTTTCTGATTGAGAGGGGGTCAAATACTTATTTCCCTTTAAAATGCAAATCAATTTATAACATTTTTGACATGCGTTTTTCTGGATTTTGTTGTTGTTATTCTGTCTCTCACTGTTCAAATAAACCTACCATTAAAATTATAGACTGATAATTTCTTTGTCAGTGGGCAAACGTACAAAATCAGCAGGGGATCAAATACTTTTTTCCCTCACTGTAAATGCACTTCTGTGTGTGCGTGCGATACAACCCAATGACTCATGCCACTGAGCGGTTGTGTGCTGGTGGGGGAGAGGCCATGACCCCCCGCACATGAGTGGCTTGTAGTCGACAGATAGAAAGAGGAGAGGGGAAGAAGGGGATTGAAGAGATAGAGAGTGAATGAAGGTAAACAGAGAGTGAGTGACGCACATCACTTTTCTGGGTCAGAACATGAAGGCTGACATGAATAAAGCGTCATAATGTTGACTTTCCACAATATGGTACCCATTTTATTTTGTTGGTACTCATTTTATTAAGTGGACTTGTCTCAATCCCATCAACAATGATTGCGCAAACATTTATTACATTTAAATTATAATTCCAGCTCTGAGAGTCAATAATATCAGTTCAGCTTCCCAAGCGGATGGGAAAGTGCCACTCCGCAGTGTGGATAAAAGAGATTTCAGATGCGGTTTTGTTGTACCCCCTTCAGCAGACCATTCTCTCTCATGGGGTGACACACGACTCTGCAAAATTGCCAAACGGATTTTTCATCTAATGACATGGCACCAATCAGAATAAAATATTTACATTGAAAAAGGCTGTGAGTGAAGACCTGCCACGCAACACCATCGCGAGGCACCAATGCTGTATTGGAAATTTCGGTTCTGCATTTGCTGTGCGGTCTCTGTGATAGAGAAGTGCAGTAGCCGTCATTGAGCATACTTTAGTGCTGCAGTAA